CCCCCCCCCACGAGGCCTCCTGGGGGTGTCAGCTGCTTCGGGCCCAGGAGGCCCACGGCCGGCTTCTGAAGAAGCGTGGCCTAGCCGGTGTGGACCGGCCAAAGCAGGGGCCATTGGAGGGCCGTCCCGCGGCTCACGTGGGGTGGCCACGCCCTGGCCAGATCCCTCCGCCTTCGGGCCTACCCTACCCCAGAGCTTCTCCCCTGGGACCACGGCCGGCCCACCCCGGGGCCGAGCAAAACTGAGGGGTGGGAGCACAGTTGAGCCCCAGCCCCACGTGAGAGACTCAGGGCACCGCACAGCCCCGGGTGCTGGGAGGACCTTGGGTGACACCACCTGAGGCCTCCAAGGGCTCAGGCGACAGCTCTGTGACACCTTTACCCTCATCCCAGGGGCCTGTGGGTGTGAAGGAGCAGGGTGTGCCCTGCTCTCCAAGGCAGCCCCGCTTAGTGACACAGGAAGGGTATGGAGGGCTCGGGACATGGACGTTGCTCGGGGTGAATGCAGGCTGGGTTTGCACCTCTGGGTCTTTCCAGGACACGTGGGAAGCCACACTTCCCTCCAGGAGGGCCACCTGGCCAAGGATAAGGAACGGGTCTCCCAGGGTCCTTTGTCCCCACAGAGTCAGCAGGGCGGCGGCTCTTCCGAGGCTGGGCTTGGCTGCACGTGCCCACGGCTCAGCGGAGAGGTGCCTCCACACGGCCATCATCCCAGCCCAGCGGATTCGGAGGGCTCCAAAGCGGACACCCACTCCTGGGGTGCACTCAGTTCTTGGGTCGAGCCCACCAGGGTGAAGGGGCACTGTGACCTATTGCACAAGGTGTGGTGCCCCCCAATCCCACACCCAGACCTCGCCCCCCAAGACATGACAAGAGACCTCCCTCCACAGGCCCGAGCATCCGAAACCCACAGCTCTACATCTACATCTGAGCTGCAGGAGCTGATCAGACTTCTCTCTCTCAGCGCCAGTTTCCTCTTTCCTACCTTGAAGAAAGTAGCTCCAAAAGGGGCTCACGTGTGCTGAGGGGCCCGCAGCCCCTCCCACCTGCAGGGAGGTACTCGCACACAGCAGGTGATTCTGAACAAGCACAGCCTGAATCTGAGGCCCAGAGTGTGGCCCCTGGGCTCCAGGTGAAGTTCCTTTTGGAAACTCCACCCCCAGTGAACTCCCCAGTCTTCTCTCCCACCTCCCCAAGCCACTCTGAGCTTCCTCTCCCCTGACTGCTGCCCCTCCCCCGCTCCTTCCCCTGGACCAATGACTCAACTCCCAAACCCTCAGAACATAAGAAGCCTAGGAAGCAAAAAAAAAAGAAGAAGAAGAAGCCTAGGAAGCGAGGGTCCTCTAGGCAGGCCCTGAGCTAGGCATGGGGAAATGATGGGGACCAGAGCTGGCCTCCACACTCTGGCCTTCAGGAAGCCAGCGGATCCTCCCATCACCCACTTAGCACCCTTCTTGCCTCCCTGTTAACCTCCACCAACCTCCTCATTGGTTTCAGCCTCGAAGCCCCCTGGTCTCTCTAGGGCCCATCAGGAAGATCCATCTGCAATCCTGGCCCCTTAGTACCTTGACCAATTCATCCACCAGGTCCAAGACTTTTGCACTTACAACTACTTTCCTGCCTTCCCTCTCTCAGGCCTCTATCCCCACAAGTCCTGCCTCTCAGCAGAGTTGGGTGGCCAGTGGGACTGCCCTTGTCCTTCGACTTCATTGTGATTTCCCTTGGACACACACGTTTCCCTAATTTTTAGGGCCCATTCCATCTCTACTTCCACCTAACCCAGTTGCCTGAGGCACCTGACATGGTCAGCTTCCTGGTCCCTCTTCTGCTCCCCATATTCGAAAAACTGCAATATATTTTTTTCAAGATGTATTTATTTAAGAGAGAGAGAGAGCACGCACACGTGGGGCAGAAGGAGTGGGAGAAAGAGTCCTAAGCAGGATCCACACTGAGCACAGAGCCCTAACAAGGGGCTCGATCTCACCACCCTGAGATCAAGACCCAAACCGAGATCAAGAGTGGGACGTTTAACCAACTGAGCCCCTGGGTGCCTGGCAACATTTAGATCAGGACTGCCCTTATGGTGGGTGGGGCCCGGGTAAATATTTTTTGCAGGGCCCCTGTCTATATACACAAAGTACTAAAAATTTGCATTATAAAATTCGTGAACCCATGTGGGGTATAGTGATTTATCAATAAAGATTTAGAATAATGGCTAGAGAAGAGGTGATTATGTTCAGTGTCCAGTCAGTGCACTGGAAGAGTCTTCGTGATGTCCAGGCTCTTGCTTCCTGTTCAGATCCCGTTTTTTATTGTCTTGTGTTCATGGAAGCCCTTTGCTGGACCCCAGGGCTCCCCATGGCCCACCAGCCTGGGCAGATAGATAGGTGTCACCTACCCATTCCTACTGCAGAATGAGGGAATCCAAGTGTTTACTCCCTGAGTCACCAAAAGCAAAGGGAGCTGTGATAGTCAATTTTCTGTGCAACTTGGAGAGGCCAAGTACATAGATATTTAGTCAAACATTATTCTAGTTGTCTCTGTGAAGATATTTTTAGATGAGATCAGTATTTAAATCAGTAAACTCTGAGTAAAGCAGATATTGCTGATGGGCCTCATACAATCAGTTGAAGGCCTTAATAGAAAAGACCGAGGTGCCCCAAGAAGAGGGAATTCCGTCAGCAGACTGCCTCCAGCTTGAACTGTAGCCTCAACTCCTCCCTGGGTCTCCAGCCTGCCTGCCCACCCTGCAGATTCTGGACTTGTCAGTTTCCATAATCACACGAGACAATTCCTTACAAAATAAATCCGTCTCATCTATATACACACGCACACACATCCTGTCGGCACTGTGGCTCTGGAGAACCCTGACTAACCCAGGAGGAAATGTTTGAAAGCTGCTCACTGGCTGGTGTCATCAGGAGTGAATGTCCCCCTGCCCCCCAGGCCTGATAAAAAGGTGTCTTGGGCTGAAGAAGGGGAGGGAGCAGCCACTCACAGAGAACCAGGGTAGGACCAGGAGGCCTGAGCCTCCTGTCATCAAGCAGCACTTGGTGTCAGGGGGCCCAGGGCAGGTGGGTCGCCCCCCTCATCTCTTCTGTCCTGAGAATTTACCCTGCCCCCATGGGCCCCTCCCAAATCAAAGGTCAAGGACCTCAATAATGTTATTGAGATGGGGGAAGGGGCTCACTCTCTGACCAGGGTGTAAGTAGCCCACCCAGCGGAGATCTCCTGAGAGCTGGGACACCTCCAGACATAGCAAGGATCATCGTATCCCCGACCCTCGGTCGGGAAGGAAGGGTCCAGTCCCTCCCGCTTCAGCCCACTCTGTCCCAGCCTCACCCCTGTGATTTTCGAGGGCTGCCAGGATGCCTGGCTCCACCTGCCTGCCTTCTCGCGGTGAGTCCCTGCTCCACTTGTGCCCGGGCATCTTCACGTGGCCTTTCTAGATCCTCTCTCCAGACCCCTGAGGACACGATTTCGGCTCAGCAGTCCTGAGTGCTGGGCCGGGCTTCTCACAGGCCCTGGGCTTAAGCCTCCCGGAGCCTGGAGCACCATGAAGAGTGGGAAGGCAGGGCCTCCGCTCACAACACGCACACACTCTTTCCCCTGCAATCTCTGGTTTCAGAGCTGGAGATCGGACCCTGAGTCACACACATGGGAGCGAGACTCGATCTGAGTCCCAGCTCTGCCCCAAGATCTAGCATCCGATCCTCGTTTGCGTCTCTGTGAAGGGGGTAGTAATATCTCTGCTGAAGGGTGTTTGTGAGGTTGCTAAGTGTCTGGTGTGAGGTGGGTGCTCTAGATGAGGCAGGTCCCCAAGGTGGCCCTCCTGACCGGTGCCTGGACGACAGAGCCGGGGGGGGGCGGGGCTCCAGCCAGCTGCCAGGGTCAATGACACTGGCCATTGGTTTAACGACCCTGGTCTGAAAGAGGACAGGATTCTATAAAAGTGCTCTTCACCTACAACTAAAAATAACCTAAAATGGGTCAGATTCGGAGCCTTGGGGCTCCCCACCACCAGGGGGAGTCTCCAACTCTAGCCTCCGGCCCTAAGTTCCTGTGTGACCCTGCGCCGGGGCTGCCGCTTTCCAAGGGCCCCGCCTCTCCTGTTCCCATGGTACCCACACCTTCAGGGATGGAGGTGTTACCCCCCCCCCGGCCCCCACCGCGGGCCCCCCCTCCCAGGGCTCACCGAGTCCATAACTGTGCTCAAGGATTTCCTTCGGATACCAAAGGCCTGACAGCGCGCAGCTCTCCCCTTGCCAGGATATCAAATAGACCTGAAGTGCAACCAGGAGAATGGGGCTCGATTTGGGGAAGAATTGGATAAGGGAGAAAATCACATCCACAAAAATAACTTGTGTCTTTTGCCAAGATTGTTAAGGACGCAGGAACATATTCAAAATACACTGGTAAATTTAAAAGAAAAAAGAAAAGAAAAACATCAGGAAACCAATTTGAGGCTACAGTATGAATCCAACTACGGAAAAAAAAAGTTATCCTGGGAAATCACCAAATACGAAGGGTGGTGAGTTAGGTAGCAGATCCACAAGCAATCTTTTTCCTCCTTCTACTTTCCCGGATTTCCTTTGCGACCACATACTACTTTTCTGTAATAAAAATTAAATAAATAAAAAGACAACTCGGGTTCCAGAAGGCGCGGGTGAAATCTTTCGGTAAGGCTTGGCTTTTTGTGGAGGGCTGGTTGCATCCCTGGACATACCCCCTCCAGCACACGGCCCTCCGGATTCATAAGGAAGAGATGGACTTTTATTCTTTAATCTTTTTTTTTAAGTGAAAAATGTAATAACACGCCCATAGTAAAAATTCAACAAAGAGTGTAAGTATTCCTGCCACCCTGGGCCCCCAGCCCCATCGCCCCAGGGCCAGCATCTTTATATTCTTGCAACACTTTTCTATGCTTGCACAAGCATAATTTTGCAAGGCCTCATTTTTCAAAAAACCTTGTTGTACAGCTTACTTTTTTTCACTTCACAGTATTTCTGAACATTTCATGGAGCTTTTTGGTATCTACCACATTCTTTTAAAAGCCAGCCTACTATCACATGCCATAGCATCATGCATTGTACCAATCTCCTACTGGTGGATGCTGAGATTGTTTCCAACGTTTGCTATTACAAAGCAGAGTAGATGTACCTGCCAGAGAGGTCCCTAGAAGGGCGACTAGGGTCCAAAGGCTGTGCACACTTTTTGTTTGGGTTAATGATGCCATACTGTCTTCTAAAGAGGTTGCGCCAACTGACATATCTACAGTGTATGGGAATTGGGTCTTCGTATTTCCTCCAGCCCAGAGGGGCAATTCTGGTGTCCCATTTTAAGAAAGTGACATGGATCCTACTTATGAAATAGCTTTTTAACAACAGCCCTTGGTGACTTGCATTTCAAAGTGCTTCTTGACTTTCATCACAGGATTCATTTAAAAAAAGAACTGTCCCTCTGCATTTGTAATATGATTTGAATTTTTTTTAAAAAAACTTGTATGCTCCCTTTCCCAGAAAGCTGCCTGGGGGTGTTTCCTGCAATGAACATGAACGTGGGAAGGGCTGGCCCACAGCCTTGGAGGCCCTTGCGCCTTTGCACCCCTGTGACACCGAGCCACACCTGGTGTGTAAAGCAAAGTACACCAGTGATCTCCTTCAGGTGACCGTGTGGCGGGGGCAAACACCCCTCCCTGGCTCTCTGCCCCCAGGGTCAGATTTGCCAAACTCTGGAGCCAGCAACTCTGGGGCTCTGAGCCAAGACATGGGCCAGCACGGGCAGCCTGCTGAGGCCACCCGGCTGCCACTGACGCGTGATGGGGAGGCCACTGCCGCCGCTGGGCCGCCTCCAGCCTCTGAGCTGGCCCCGCGCACACCCCAACCCTCCCTTGGCTGGGCCTGTTACTGCATCCTTTCCTAAGTGCATTTTCTGCCGAGAGCACTAGCTTTCCATGGCGATTATACGTCAACTCCTTCCCAGCTTCGTCTTCTCTTCCCCTTCCTCTTTGCCTCCGTGGCCAGCGGTTCTCCTAACAAATGCGCCAAAACGAAAAGCAAAACCACGCTGTTGGCTCCAGCTTCAATCCCATCGGGATCCTCGGCTCGCTGTCGTCTTGTGGACTTCCTCCTGCGTGGCCGGCCCTGGGTGTCGGGAAGCTCTGCGTTTTGCTGACCACATCCCTGCTCCCCGATGGGCTCCCTGATGGGCTTCCCAAGCTGCGTGAACGTCGCCTTGGAAATGCCGCCCACCCCGACACTGCCCTCCCCCATGGCCTCACCCTCCCTGGGATGGGCCAGCCTCCAGGCTGCGGAAGCATGGTCTTTTTCTGACCCTCCTGCAGAGTATCATCCCTCCTCTTGGCGCTGGCCCCCCTCAGGAGGCACAATTTTGCCCGCTCTTCGCTCAGAGTGTTTTCCCATCACGACTGGCACCTCTCCTATCTCATTAGATCATCACCTCCCGGCACCCTTGAGGATGCAGCATCCGGCCCACACTGCCATGTAGGACATGGTCTGCTCAGCGGCCACAACAAAATAGCACAGACTCGGGGGCTTCGACAATAGACATTTTCTCACAGCTCTGCAGGCTGGAAGCCCAAGATCAGGGGATCAGGGTGATCGAGTTCTACTGAGGACCTTCTCCCTGGCTCACCGATGGCTGCCTTCTTGCTGCCTCCTACGTGGCTTTTCTTCTTACGC